GAATGTGTGATGATGGATATGTGAAATGTATTGCACTGCTCACAAGTGTTCTTTCTTTCTCTTTCGTCAGATTGTATGAAGGGAAGGAACAGGCCGAGTTTGAGGAATCTCTCAAAAGTTTATTTGAGTCGATCAATAACCTGATGAAAAGTGACTACACCACTACACTACTGCAGCAGGTATGAATAGTTTAATTCAGTTTATGAAATATATAGGTATAGCTATATATAGCTGTGTATATAAAGTATGTAGCTATATAGCTGTCAGTACAAAGGAGTCACTTGATACAATAAGTGTCACGAATTAGCTGTTGATTAATGACGTAGAAATAGTGCAGAATCTGACATAATTCATTTCACATCATAGCTTTTCATTGTTTTAGAAATATTTCAAAATATTATTTAATTTTTATAATATTTATAGTTTTAAAATTGTATATAATTTATGGTATACATGTATTTATACATTTATATTATTTATTACAATTATATATGTGTTTGTGTGCGTGTGTGTATTTGTGCATTTATGCATGTATATATATATATATATATATATATGTACACATTTATGTACACACTTGATTTTTATATCTGTATGTGTGTATATATAATCATTATATATGACAAATCATATTTAAAACTTTATATATTATATAATAAATTATATAATTATATAATTATTATTTATATAATTATATAATAAAAATATATCAAATATTTTGTCAATCGATCTCATTTACTTTTTTAATACCATATACTTTTCTGTCTGTCTGTTTGCAGTAAGCTGTTGTATGATTTCTACACCTGTATTCCTCCGGATAAACTACAGAAACAGAAAGTGGCGTCCATGACTGTGATCGTGGGCAGCAAACTCTTCCACAGACAAGGTAAAACACGCGCTCATGAAAGTCTGAGATGTCATTAAAAATCTGGAGTTTCCCCCCCCTCTATTTACACCTGAAACTATACTGTAAAAAAAGCAACATTTTGAGTCATAAATACTAAGAGTTGTGAATTACTTTAAACTAGGGATGGCAATAATCGGTATCGGAGCGATAAAGCAATTACCTGCACTAGGGGTGCTCCGCTCAGGATTTTTGAGGCCGATCACAGAAAGCAGTATCTGCTGATACGATCACCGATACCGATATTTTTAAAGCCTTCTTTTTATCATGTAGAATTATTTATAGTAAGACTCCAATCAGGAATTTTAGACATTTATTCAGGGCCTGAATTTCATTTTTGAAAATGAATTCCCCTCTTAAATGACTCGTGTGAGAGGGGATTTTTTAGTTTGAGGGGTAGAGGGGGGCATTTTTTAGACATTTTTCTAAAATATATATTTATCTCACCTAAATGTTTGATCATGCACTGCATTTTTGTTTTTACAATCGTGCAATTGTTGCACAATAGCTGACACACAGCGCAAGCCTCATTTTGTGAGCTGTATGTGAGGCGGCCTTTTACACCAGGTTCACACATACTCCGTTTGCAGTGTGCATGCAGCCGCATGTAAGCGGTGCAGAAGCAGCAGGTGCTCATTGTGCTTTCACACACGAGTCTGCAACTGATTCGTGGCTGTTTGCCATCTATTATTGCCTTGTTTATCTAAAAATGCTCTTTTCCTTTAAACCTAGCCAAAAAGCCATAGTCTATGTTGACTGTGAAGCACAGTAGACTTTAATTATATGCATTTATGGTGTAATTACTACATTTTAGTGTCAATCCATGCTCATATTTACCGCAAACAATGCGCTGTTACTTTAATTCAGTGCTTGCAGCACAGCAAAAATAGACTCAGTGCGGAAATTCCATTAACATGATTGCTTCATCTGGAAAGCATCTGCTGTGTAAAAACATCTCATAGACGTCTTTAAGATGTTAGTTTTACATACATTCTAAATCATAAACATCTTAAAGACATTTTCTAAACGTGTATACATCTGATAGGAAATGTCCTATAGACGTATTGCAGATGAGCAAACACTCTAAAAAAATATGTCTTGCAGATGTAAACGCAGACGTCAAATAGACGTCTCCGGGTGTGCTTTCAGTGCAGACGTTTTTATTTGAGTGTGATTTATTATATCTGAATATAAATAGCATTTAATATAATAGTGTTGTTGTTCATTTTAACCTCTAATGTACCAGTATATATATAATTTAGAGCATCGGCAGATATCATTCTGAGAAATCTGACATGAAATTTCATAGCAGTGCATCTCTACTTTAAACTACATTAAAACCCATGTTAGACCATCGTAATACCCCCAAATATTGTCCCAAACTAGGCAAACACAGTTATCTGAACAAAGATGTTCAAACAATATTGCTGAAACATTAAGGATTTGTGAGTTCCCAGCATGCATTGCAGCATGAATAAATTAGGCATTTACTCTTAAAGTATTATTTCTTTTCTTTTCTTTTCTTCTCACAGCATCTTTGATATGTTATTTTACACTGTATCTTTCCTCGACTCTTTCTCTCTCTGGGTTTATATGATGGCCTCTGGCCTGCTCCTGCCAAACGGTCTCTTAACTAGATGCTATAAAGTGATGAATGGTGTGTGTGTGTGTGTGCGCTCTTTAACTTCGATAAGATGCAGACGGGTGATGAATGTGTTTGTATGTGTGTGTTTTACTAAAGAGTCTGATGGTTTTGCTCATGAAAGCGGTGATGGATTGTGTTGAGTGTGTGTGTTTAATGATGGGTAATCATAGACAGATTCATCATCCAGCTTCATTTAACCTAAAGTGTTAACCTTCGCTTGTATTTGTTGTAAAATCTACCAACACTCTTGTCAGTGCATGACCAGGGTTATTGTAGCTAACTAAAACTAGAAGAAAAACTATAAAAAATAACATTTTACGTCAATTGAAATAAAATATAAAAAAGTAAACTTGTGATATATACATATATTGTGATATACAAATTAGGGGTGTCGAAATTAATAGTTTCTTCGATGCATCGCGATGCAGACAAGGACGATTCGATATCGGTTCAGTAATAGTCCATAACCGATTATAACGTACTGACTCTTTTCTGACGTCATTTGTTGCGGTAGCATACATTAGGCGCGTTCGGCTTGAAGCGCCGCTGCGCAGAATGATCAGTATATGACCAAGTACCGCGAGAGCGATAAGAGAGCAGACGGCTCCTTATGCTTTCGCGGTTGATGTCATACACTCATCCTGCGCAGCGCTGCTTCAAATCGAACGCGCCTAATGGTGGATGGAGGCGACACGCGAATGCGAGTAATTAAAAATGCTCCAACTACTTTAAAAGCCGACATCTGGCCACATTTCGGCTTTTATGAACAACCTGAGCACGACCTGGAGAAGACACATGCTGTGTGTAAATCATGTCACGCATGAAATATGTAGGGGGTAGGGGATGGGCAAATAAAGCCTCATGAAGCACTGAGGCTTTCCTCTGACTGTTTCGGGAAAAGATTCAAAGCTTCGAGTGTCTCGAAAACAGCACCATCTGGTGGTTCATAAAAAATATAGCAGCCAAAAGCCTGTGAAAGACGCTCCGTAGGACGAGGCATCTACCACATATTCCACAGATCGATTCAAGTTACATGCACAAATAAAAGCCTAACAGTGTGTGTGTTTGTTGAGTTTCTGATAAATTCGTTTACCCATTAAACTGTGCAATTTAATACCAGTACGAATATCAATATGATGTAATAAAGAATAATATACTCGAAATGAATTGCATATGACAAATATAGAATCTTTCTGAAATAATTTGTATTCTTCATATTACCGTATTGGCCCGAATATAAGACGACCCTGATTATAAGACGACCCCCCCTTTTTCCAGATGTACCTTTTGGAAAAAGGCTTTTTAAAAACCAAATCTTGTTTTTTCTCAGTAAAACACATTTTGTCTTCAATTATTTTCATATTGCATATTTTTCCTATTTTAATTTTTGTTTTGAAAGTATGGTAAAAACTGGTAAAATGTACCAACAATCACATTAAAAAAAATATACACTTTTTGGTAGCCCATCTGAATTAGGACATTTAGGCTATCCATCTAATAGTAGCCTACCAAAATCTTATTAATCTTATTAATTAAATCTTACTGTAGTCTTCAAATCTGGGTACTGTCTTACGTTTTAAAATCACAAAGGGCACAAAGGGACATCAGGCTAACGTGACAGTCACGACTCATGCAGCTGTAAGGGTTTCTTTTTCTTTTGTTTTTACTCGAGATCTTTAACAACACGCATTACATTACGTATTTAATGGCACACTTGTTTTATGCGTATTTGGCGCCACCTAGTGTTGAGGGTGTATTATTGACATGTCAAAGTCTAGACCCTGAATATAAGACGACCGCGTTTTTTCAGATGTATTTCCAAGAAAAAAACATAGT